AAAAGAAGGCTGAAAAGTTGCCCTTTTCTGAACTTTGAAGGGCCGTAACTTTTTAAATAAGGGAGAGCGCCGCTTTTTTCTTTCAGATTCGTAATCTACGCATCAAAATACGTAAGTACAGTCAAAAATTTTTTCAAAATCGCCGGGTGTCCACATAACGAAAATTTACCGATATTTTTGGATATTTTGAAGAATAATGTCATTTTTCGATGTTTCTTTTTTTAAATGTCAATTTTGACAGGTTAAGGAAATCAAGTGACCTATTTTGTAGACATCATTTCTTAAGCAAAATCTACTGCCAAAATCGAATTTCACATAAAACAATAAATAAAAAAGTTTCCCATTTGATGCGGACTTTATCGGTGACACTGTATATATATATATATCTGTATTATCAATAGAACCATAGTATAATATTTTGCATTTGAACCTGTTCAGCATCCTATCATGGTCATTTTGGAAACACCTCCGCAGAAGTAGATTGTATGTTGAAGTGATGAACAAAATAAAAATTTTATATTATCGATAATTTGGCCAAAAAACTGACAGTTTCATAAATAATCTGAATTGATTCAGTTTTATTCAAGTCAACTCAAGTAAACAAATACGATAAAACAAAATGATTGATTTTTCATCAATGGTAGATTGTTACATAAATATATGATAATCTAAAGGATACTTTCGACTCACCATTGCGTCCCAATTGGACCTTTTCATGACATCCACATTCTGAGGAGGCTGCTGGTGATTGACATACTCTCCTTGTTGTGCCTGATAGTAATGTCCTCCGTTGGTTACCATTACATTACTGTGGTTGCTTGGATATATCTCATGAACAGGAAATGTGGCAGCTTGTGGTGGATACACTGGTTGAGGAAACTGTTGAGCAGGGGAATATGTAGGATTGGGATGGTAAGGAACATCATAACCCATTCGTGGTATCTGAACAACCGCAGGTAAAGGAACAGGACTCACAGTCGTTGTGTTTGGTACTGAGTAGTAGTCATCTGAAGAGTTATAGTTCTTTTCGGTAGGAGACTGGTTGTCAATATGATAATCTTTGGTTCTGGGGACAGTTTTTCGACTCTGCAAGTAAATGAGGAATGCTAAATCATTGGAAAACTTGTTCCACATTAGAGAGTTTTCTATAATTTCCTCTCTGTAACAAATAGATTATAAATTATGTACCTTAGCTCTGTACTTTTCTAATTCCTCAGGTGAATGCGCAAAAGTACAATTCACGCCTCTCGGACAACTGCCCCTTAAAGTTAAGTCACGACACATGCTTATTTTGTACTTGGCATGCTGTGAATGATTTGTGTCTTGAAGTTTCCGGTTGCCATGCTGGTGAATGAAGTCTACCAAACCTGCTACAACTAATCGAACTGCTTCCAGACATTCAGAACATTCACTCCAAGAAGGAGCAGAAGATTCTGAAAAAAAAAATTATGCCAGGAAAAATTTTATTTCAAGAAAAACCCAGTTATTCTATGACTTCATAGACTTTAGGAGATTCGAGTCACTTGGGCCGAGGCGAAACGTCAGGAAAAAATTTCAACAGATGATGGCCTAAATTGACGAATATTTGTATACTCAATTTATTTATTGTTCTCAAATTTCACAGCAGAAAATAATTTGTTTACTGATTATTGATTATGTGATAATGAAAACAAAAAGTGGTGAATCGTCTTGAACGGGGGGATAATCATGACAATTAATACACGAAATTGAGTCAGAATGAATTAATAAACTTTATTAATCCCTGTTACATAAGAAAATGTATAAAAAAGGTTAAGTACGTCATAAAGAAAGCTTCAGGTGATGTATTTCAAATGTAAACCTCCTTTAGTCTACGAGATGCACCGTGCAATTCTATACTTTACACCTAATACAATTTCATTAAAAACCAGTCTAATATATAATTTAACTTACCAGGACTCGGATCAATTCCCGCCAACAACTCCAGATGATTTCTAAGGACAGATAATTTTCCTGGATCTCCTGTTCGCTGTAATGCGATTACCAACTCTTGAACCGACTGTGCAAACGACTGAGGTGTCTGTAGCTTATCAATGATACTCTGCATATGAGACTTATGTGCTGCATCACCATATAGTAGAGCAGACCACTGATCGGGAGCAATTCTTAGGCCAGCCTCTGTAGCAATCTGAACTATCTGGGCATCATGTTCACGTCGCAATGCATCATATGTGCGAAATTCTTCCTTTAGTTGCATGAGAGAAGAATCACTTTCTCGTTTGGAAACCTGGAATTTCAAATTCATCACTGAAATTTTTTGACAAACATTTTTTGTTCTGTTTTATCACAGGTTTGGAATATATTTATGATTTAATGTGTCATTAAGCGATTTTCGGCCAATTTTTCTCTACGAATTCAAATGGAACCAAAGGGCTGCCGAAACAGTCCGAATAATGATCCAGGCATTTGGCAATGATAGTATTAATGAACAAATTGTTTGATATTGGTTTGCGAAATTTCGTTACGGATATTTTAGCCACGAAGATGAGCTCAGAAGTGGTCGACCTATAGTAATCCAGGACGAGGATTTAAAGACCCTGGTGAAGACTGACTCATCACAAACGGTGCGTGAGATGGCGGAAAAATCGGGCGTCAGGTCCCATGCGGTTAGTGATGGTTTAAAACTCGAAAAGAGGGTGCTCCACGATTTGAACAATCAACAGAAATTTTAAAGTTTCGAGGTCTGTTCTTTGCTTTTGCGCTACCAAAACGACTATTTTTTGGATCAGACAAAAAAACATGAGCGACAATAAAACATATACCACATATTGCACCCTCAGAATGAAACTGACTCAACTCAAAATTCCTGTAACTCCCGATTTTACCATAAACTGATCTTATAAAGCAAACTCATGTCTTGTCTTGTTTCATATTTATGATTGATTTTTTTGAGTACAGATTTGTTTTTGTAGAAGTATATGATTATTTGATGCATAAACAGCTGTCTGATGTCGAGTATACCTGTTTTTTGAAATAGTATATTGAAGGAGTAGTTGTTTTTTTTGCCATAGATTATTTTCAAAATTCCTTTTTGGAGGACATCCAACTGCGTTGAATGGGTTTTAACTGAACCACCCCAGATGAGAATGGCGTATTGTAGCCTTGACTGAACGAGAGCGTAGTATATCATTTTTAGGTAAGTGATGTCAAGTATGTTTTTCAATTTTCTGAATCTATATAATAAGCATCTTAATGTCTTCGTTATATTCATTATGTGAAGATCCCAGCGTAGGTATTTATCTAGTGTTACTCCTTAGTACTTTATGTCGTTTCGCGAATGTATCACTTCCATATTTCCGTTATGTTCTACGTTCAAATTATAATTGAACAAAAATAAATGAAAATAAAGAAAAGAAAAAAGAAAATAAAAAGTTTAGAGATTCCAAGTCATGTTAGTTCACGACGTTTCGATTGTTAGTATCTACAATCGTCTTCGGGTGATGACTTCGGGTGATGTTAGTAACTGATATTGGAAATGTAATTGAAAGGTACCCTTGTAATTAACATCAGTAATATCAAACAATGGTTCTGGCTGGAAACTGGAGTTGGAAAAATGACTTGAAAGTAAATAAGAATTTTGGATTTTCTACTGAAACTCTCTTTAAAAAAAATATATCTTCAGGGGAAAATTTTGTCTTTAACAATTTTGATCATAGCTCCAGTCTAATAAGTATTAGATGCTCAGGCACAACTGAGAATATTGATCACAATTTTTATTAAATTGTGATCAACACTCAAACTAATCAAACATCATGCATATGAACAGACAAAATACTAATCTTGGTTTGTTTTTTTCAATAATTCCAATCCATGAACAAATAAATAAACATTGCTGGGAAAATTTCATAAGTGTTTGAAAGGCTTATCAATGTCTAGTGGGAAATCCATTTAAGTTGCATAACTATTCTTGATATATGTATATTTAATTCAAAAATAAATTAGTCATAAGGTCAGAGAAGTGTTTGATATTAATATATTATGTGATGGAATCGGACGATTCTTGATGAAAATTCATAAGGTATTCAAGAAACACTTTATTGTCAGATTCATACCAAAATGTATACCAAAGTCCAATTTTATGTAAGATTGTTAATGAAAAAAAATCCCTTTTTTTGCCAACTAATGTCACTGTTTGATTCAAAGATTTCCCAGTTTTCATTTCATACTATATTTTGGACTTTTATCAGAACCTACTTGGAATATATCACGAATATCTAGACTCCTTTTATAATATTTGAATTGATTCTAGAATCTGAAGAAGGAAAAATACAATTATCAGCTTGGAACTAGCACTTGCGTATCTAGAGGTATGTTAATCTTATTTGAACTTTCTCGTTTTTCAATTTGTGAATGAATGTTGAATATTGTGAATAAAGAGACAAAATAACAACTATTTTGAATACAGCAGTATGAGAGACCTTATTCTTATATATAGCATTTCCATCCTATTTTAAAATTTAGTTATATTGGTCATATCATTTAAAGAAATGACACAAAATTATTTTAAACTTTTGACGCATATATTCAAGAGTTAGTTGAAGAAGTGATTTCTTTTGATAAACATGATGAAAAAAATTGTTGGGAAATACCTTGAAACACGAAGCCCTGTATAACAACTGCACTACGTGTCCAATGCTTGTCTTGGAAGCCTGTGGAAAATGTGGTTCCAATCTCTGTACTACAAACATCACCAAAACTTTCCTGGATAAGGCTGAGCCATCTTCTAGAGCTAGCAGTACAAGTTTTAATACTTCCTCTTGCATCGCTGAAATAAATTTTTTGGTCAATTATGCTTGAGTCTAACTGGCGTTCAGGGTGTTATATTTTTTCTTTTGTTCTACATGAAAATTTTATAATAGCGTACAGAAATGTTTTTGAAAAAAATATGAATAAATCTAATATAAAGAAAATTTGTTACAAAAAAGTTTTCAATGAGGTAATGGTTAAGAATCTGTTTAAAATCTGTTTTTTCCGTTAACCAGCTGTCACCCCCATACGAACGACAATTCTCGAAACTTGTGCGAGCTAAGGATTAACGAGGTCTTACCTTTCAACGTGTGATTCCACAAACCTTAATTTCTTTATTTTATTTATTTATTGCACAGGTTCACTCCTTTTTATAACAGTATAAGCATCAAATAATAAATATTTATATACAATTTAAAAATTTAAGAAAACACTACAAGTGTCAAAATAAAACTCGAAGTAAACTCAAGCACTTGAAATTGAGTAAAAACGCAAAAGATAAACATAATTATAGATTATACAATTCAAAATACAGAGACAAATGGTGAAAATAATATAAAGGATACATATAAGTAATGAGTGAATCATAAGTATAATTAATTTTCAAGTCCCTCTCAGAAGATAGGCCTATACCTGTGATCTCTAGATGCAGGTTTTTTGCATTGAATATTCTAAGAACGATCAATAGAAGAGATCATTCCATTTCGGCCGTATTGTCCCACATAAACACTATTACACTCCGGACACTTAAGCTTATAAACTCCAGATTTTTCAAACTTGTCGATCTTATCTTTGGCATTGAAAAGGAAATGAGATAACCTGGCATGTGGTCTGAATGCTACTTCCACATTATTTTTTCTGAAGAAACCTGCGATTATTTCTGTTCTTTTTCCAAAATATGTTAGCGTTGCCCATTTCTTAATTTCTGGTTGTTTGACATGAGGATATATTAATCTGTGAGTGAATTTCCGGCTTTGTTTCCTGACTAACTTCTGGATAGTATCTGCGTTGAAACCATTATTGTGACCTATCTGTGTAATTGTATCAATTTCCCTAGCTAGATTGTCTGCAGACAAAGGCAGTGAGAATGCTCTGTGCAACATTGAATTGTAGGCTGCTAATTTATGACTGTCTGGATGGAAAGAATCGCTTGGGATAGTGATGTCTGTATAGCTAGGTTTTCTGAAAACATTGAACTCGAATTTATTCTGATTGTGTGTAATGGCCAGGTCTAAGAAATTTATCTGTTTCTCTATCTCTGTTTCGAGTGTGAACTGAATGTTGCTATTGAGATTGTTCATGAATGTCATAAATTGGTTCAGCTGTCGTGTAGTATCTCTGAAACAGGCGAGAATATCGTCTACATATCTGTACCAAAAATGAATATGTTTTTTACCCAGGTCGGAGTTTACTATCTTGGTCTCCAAGTTGTTCATAAATATGTCTGCTAAAAGTGGACTAAGGAGTCAGCCCATTGGTAAACCTGAATCCTGTTTATAAAATTTGTTGTTGAACTGTAGGTAGGTTTACACTCTTTATACGGTATGTTGGAGAACATACTTTTACATCGAATGAAACTAAAATTGAATTATGTGGCGTGGTTTGGTTCCTTATGTTTTCTACTAAAGTCAGTGAATTTTTAATGCCGTGAGATGGGACGAAATTGGTAATATTTTTGAACAACTTGTTAAGACGTATTCCTAGTTCTCTTACCGGACTATTTATATACGAAACTACCGGTCTTATGGGGTTATCCTCTTTATGTGTTTTTATCAGGCCATACAGTTTAGGGCAAGAGGGGTTCATGTTGGTGATTCTCCGTTTCTCTGATTCCGTGAAAATGATTTTAGTATCTAAGAGAAAATTATTCAGTTCATTTTGACTATTTTTCGTCGGGTCTTTCTTGATGATAGTAAGGTTTTCATCTCGAAACATATGAACATATGTTTCTCGTTCAAGGATAACAATGTCATTCGATTTATCAGTTTTCGTGAAAACAAGATCATTATTTCTTATTTTTTGTTGTATAGTTTTTATTATGCCTGTTTCTCTACTGTTTGATAAAGAGAATGGATGGTTCTGAATTACTTCATTTATCTTGTATGCCCCTATTTCTCTATTATCTGTCTGTTTCAATGCAATAGCTGTATCTGTTATCAACGTATCCAAACTATTTTTATTAATTATTGTTGGTGTATATTCCGGCCCCTTGGACATTGTTGAAATTTCCTCTTTGTTAAATTCTACTTTGGTCAAGTTATTGATTCTTTCGCTGAACGGGATATCTGGTTCAACTGATTCGCAGTGTATGATATGTTCAATCATGAAAAGTCCTTCAGACTAGGAAAAAATGATTCGACGTTTTCAAACCATTCCTTGGCATCCAACCACAAGTTTTCGAATCTAAACGATACGGAAATTCTGCACTATGCAAGGAAGGGTTGCAAACTCAATTATTTAGAATCCTTGGAAATCCACAAGCATAAACATTGCGGGTGCAACCTGTTGAATGATCAAATCGATTTAATTTACTCTCCGGTTTTTAAATTGGCACATCCGCATTGTGAACTGTAAATTCAGGTACTCAATCAAGTCAAGTACATCTATTTCTATTAGTACCTACAGGGATGGTATATAATGGCGAATGTAATGAATCATTGTTAGTTTATTGTATGAGTTTGAGAATGTCCGTATAGGACGAAACTGCAGTAATGTTAGTTACAAACAAGCGTGGTAAAAAACATAGAAATTTTCATTTATCTTTTCATTATGATATCCTACCACATAGTAACGGCTACATCCATCAATTTGATGATTGCTGATGTGTATATTCATTTTATAAGCACAGAATCCCAGTGATTTGTATAAAAAGGTGACAAAATAATCGAAACATATTCCAAGTGGGAAACTACTAAGGCAAGATACACCGTTCTCACTGAATTGATTGATAATAGTTTGCAGTTTCGTAATATGAAGCCTTGATGTATTGACAGCAATATGATTTATATGATCAACAAATTGCAATTGCTCATCAAAGATAACTCCTAGATCCTTCATTGAAGAGACACGTGTTAGTTGATTACCATTCAGAGATTATGAGAACTTCACAATCAGAGAATTAGGGATAAACTGCTTACCAATTCAAACGGGTCTAGATCCTTCTGGTCGGTAGCTAAAGCCATTAATCAAAACGTTACAAATTTCACACTTTCACCACTAACACAAGCGGATGGTTCAATCACAAAACAGTGATAGAAAAAGCCAATGTTCTAGCTGAACAATTTGCGTCTCACTCCACAGTCGATTTTCTGGGAAAGGCACTACCCACTATTCCTACACAATGCCAGAAATTACTTTTTGACGTATAGTCAGACAAATTTTGAAACAGTTTACTATCAAAAAGGCGTCTAGTCCTGAAGTGCTCATCATCGTACTTAAAAAGTGCGTCAATGAACTCGCACCAATATTTTGCAGACTTTTCAACCTGTCTTACAATGAAGGGATTTTTCCTTCTTCGAAACTCCTCCTGCAAGACTAATATCGGTGAGGTTATAATTCGGCGTGATATTAGCCGGGGAAGTAGTTGTTTTCCGGCAGGCATTTACCAGAACCTACAGTGTAGGTAGTTGGGAGAGATGAATATTTCAAAATTTTATTTCAAAATATTTATTTTCTAGTATATTTTTATCTCTTCTCGATACAGTCTTCACACACTGGAAATCTCGGATTGACTGGTTTTATTGTTAAATTGATCAACAGGAACAATATATCCCAATCTTGTAGGTGTACAAAGTCGATTCACAGTTATATATGTTTTCATATCTCCTCTATGGATCAACATTTGTTCGGAAATGGTTCCATTACAATAGCTTCATGTTTCTGTTTTTTTTCATTCTTGAAATATTGAATGATCTCCGAAATATTTTATTTCAAACTAGTAAGTATAAGTATACAAAGACAATTTTTCATAATTCCAATTTCTCGGACATACCATAAAACTGAAACATAACTTATTCCACTGGGGCAATCAATAAGCTTATTATATCAAAAGATGGTAGATGTACAGAGAATACCTGTGAAATAAAAAATAATGATTCAAATATCAGCTTGTTCTGAGCTTTTCACTTGACAGTTTACAAAACCGCAACATATGCTTAACTATACAACAGCTTCTTCCGTTGTGTTCAATACTCTAGCTATTGTGTGAGGCACACAACCATAACACATGTCATAGTTTTGTAAACTGTTAAGTGAAAACCTCTTGATAATGTGCTATTTGAATATGTTACAATGAATGGTCATCAAGTATCAGCCAGTTCTATAACATATAGAAAAAATAATTTCAATTTTTTTTCTCAGTTTACTTTGTGGATGTGGATAACTTCACACCACAAGTGATAGAATTATTAATTACAACTCACCACTTTTTTTTCCACAATGTCATAAATTGGCGGTTAATATAAAAGCTAATTGATATATCACAAATGTTATGTTTCTGTATATTGTAATCTTCACAGTTCAACTTCATTAGGTTTTTAGTGATTTATTCACGCAAATATATAAGGCTGTATACATAGTTATTGTATTTATTATTGACAAAATTATGACTGTACTAATTGGTTGGATTGTAGCGGTTGGTTGGCGTGAGTGGTTCATTCTAGTCACTCAGACTACTGCTATGAGAAAATTTGCTCAATTTCAGCTGTGGAATTTTCGTATTTTGCTATGCATCATTCGATCTGTACTAGGAATTGCAAGTCAATAAGTAAAAACTTGTTGATTATTAGTTCACACAAATTTCACTTTCTGAGGATTGTTATTTGTAAAGAGGCAAGAGCTGGTCAATGAAAAAATACTCATCACCTGATATAAGAAAAATTGTAGTGCACTTTGACAACCTCAATCTGTTTATTATAGTATAGTAAAAGATAACAAACATGCTTAAAAAATAATATACATGCCATAAGAAAATGAAAAAAATAAAATTTGCAGTCAGCCTTTGGATAAAGGTTATCATACTCTATAATGATAGATTCATAAGAAATAATATAATTATTAGCTTACCGGGTCCTAAAAATTGACATCCTCTTGCTCTCACTGCAGCCCATAAATTAGCAGATAACTGTTGTGGGTTTTGGTGCTGTAAAATTAACTCAGTTACTGTGCGCTCGCCTAGAGACCTAGCTGCTCGCATTGCTCTTGTCCTTCCTTCATCTTCTACTAGCTGACAGTTAATTAAAGTAACTAGCTTCCTCTGCATAGGTCTCGAGAGAATGCTTCCACTTCCACAAACACTTCCACTTGGATGGGGTTTTAAATATAAAGCAAGATCTTCTACACATTTTTTACATTCCAAGTATTGGTCTAAAAATTCTGCAGGTACTACTTTACAATCAATTTCATAATGTGCGCTTCTAATGTTTGGTCCAACAAGTTGTAAAAGTGCAGAGTTGACAGGCAAAATTTCAATGTCAATGCTGATGTTTGTTTGGTCAAATGGGCACTGCTTTCTGTGTAAATGGGAGAGACAACCTCTGCATATTGTATGTCCACAGCCCAAGCTTATAGGACTGCGGAGCTTTTCGTCGAATAAGTTGCAACATACTGGACATGATAGGAACTCTGTCCATTGAGGTGCCTGGATGGGCATACTAAAATTCAGAATTATCATTATGTTAACATCATCAAATTGAATTGTCAAAATCAGGTGATAATCACTTTATGATGCCAATGTGGCAAGATTAGATTGCCAATGTTAATTTTTGAAAAATGGAAATCTCCATGAGTTCATAATATAGGAAAATGGCATTTACCTTGATTGGTTTGCAAAAAATATTCACATTATGGAGTACTTTGGCAATAGATGATTCACATTTGTTGTGAAATCCTCTAGCAGTTCTGGAAATCTCGAATGTCGAATGACTACGTCCTACGTCACAACATTGGGCAAGACGTCAAACCCAGAAGATAAAGCATTTAATGTTCTGTGTCAAATGAAAAAGGGGGATTTTCCAGGTTTGGCAGATTTCTTTTGTTTGCTTTCAGAGTTCTTCTTCTTCTTCTCTTTTTTTATGGTCCCTGTTGTGGCATTAGCCGCGGTGGTAGTGCGCCCGACTCACGATCGGAAGGCCGTGGGTTCAATTCCCGCCTCGACCAGATATTTTTCTCGAGAGAATTTATCTGGTTGAAGCTGGAAGGATTCTGCAACCGTGTTTGGAATCACACGTTAAAAGGTAAGACCTCGTTAGTCCTTAACTCGCACAAGTTTCTCAACTTCTGAGAGTATTCGTTCGTATGAGGGCGACAGCTGATTAAAGGAAAAACAGATTTTAAAACAGATTAAAAACATATTTATATTCATTTGTCACTAGTGTCAATTGTCAACTTAGTTATTCCATGCAACTGCTTTCTGATTATTTCAGTAAACAAACTGCAAATGAAACTAAAAATGGAAAATACCATCACCAGAGACATATATTCATTTCAATTTATATTTGTGTTCTGTGGGACGACTTGAAGACAGAAACAAATTATATAATTTCATTTCATTGTCACATAGACAACCAATAGATCATATATGTTCTGTGACCACGAACCATAAATCTGATCAACTCTATTTATCATCATATCTAGATATGCTGTGATATCATCCTACAAAATCACAGTTCCGTTTTCGATATGGTGGTGGATGGTCGTGCCGATAGCGACCGTCCACAAAGAAAGTACGCGGATGCCCTTGTTGGAAACGGAATTCACTTCGTGTTATGAATATCCGCCGTTATATAATGTGCCAGCATCAAAATTAAATTGTTAATAGTTTCAATAATAAGTGTTTAAGTGTGTTATAATAGTAGTGCCCTCATTCACACCGGTTGGAGGCCGGGTAGACCGGATGTCCACGTGGAAGTTGTTAAAGTAGAATTAATATATAACACCTAACCTAAAAAAAACATCAGAATCATACTAGTTTTTACTATGTTGTAATAATTTTTTTTACTCCTATAAAAAAGAAACAAGAAATCGAAGTGATGAATTCATTAACTAACAACCTTCATTAAAATTGTATTGAATCACAGAATAGATCATTCTTCTATAAAAATATCTCTTTCAACAAAAACACAAAGTTCATAATACAGCGTGGCAGAAAGAATTAGTTAATAACAAAATATAGAAACTTGGGTTACGAACGAATGTTATGAGCAAATATATGTTGGATTGATATTCTATCCAATTTCGACTTTGGCTCAAGTCTTTTGCTCATCGTGTAAACAACAGTGACGTCATCTGTAGAATATGTATAGTAGCTACACATTCTTTACAAAATTTTTACCTGATAAGTATTCGTGTTTATGTGAATCGTTGCTTTTCTTCCAAAAACTCGATTACAATAGAGACGTCGGATGAGAGCTATGGGAATCCAGCTAAAACAAAAAAAATAAACAAACATTCCAATCGTTTGAATACAGTAAAATACTCAATAAAACCAATCAAATTTATTTTGGATCCTAACCTTCCCATGGCCGTAACAGATTTTAGAAAAATATCGCAGTTAATCACTGGTACCTGGTCACTACCAATTTGGAGAGCATGAAAATTTGAAGTTATATTGTTCGAAGTCATAAGATAGTCTGAATTCAATTTGAAGAAGAACTACTAGTATATAGAAGTATGTAGATCAGTTCAGAAAAATATTTTTTTATCTGATGCATACTCATTGATGTAATTGTAGTCAAAGTTATTCATTATTTTCAGATTCATATTGACTGTCTCTACCTTCAATATTGACAAAAATCGTGATATGCACTGCAGAAAACTCGAAAATGGAGTAATATGATTGAAATATTAAGGTGAAGTAACAATGTGAACAATGAACATAATAACTGATACAAATGACAAATACACAGAGTATCCAACTAATGAAAAATACATTTGCTCCAAATGAAATTTTGATTTGAATGGGAAACACTCTTGAATTTTCATGCTTCCAAATAATGTATCTAATCCTCAGGTGATTCAAATACCGAGAGAAATTTCTACAATCTCTTTTATCTTCTGAATTTTCAATTTCGAAACCGGCCTGCAATTTGAAATCATTTTGACCTTGAATCCAAATAACTTTGCTGGAGTCACTCGTGGCAAATTTATGGACATTCAGGAAAACCTGACTACTACCATAACTGATATCTACAATAATATAATCAACTCCAGAACTAGTAATGGATAATTATCAATATATAATGATAATATAAATTATGATAATAGAAAAATTACTTCAAATGTCTACCTCCTGATTAACAATAATGAACACAATTCTCAGAGAAAAGCATTGAGTATCCAAGTTTTCACAACTGGAGGTAAAGGAAATAACGATGCATTTGTCCATTAAATACCGATAGGAGTATGCTTTTTAGCGGGTCTGAATTTTCGAAATTTTTAATCGTGTGTTATAAAGAAATCAATGTTTTATTTGAAATTCCAAGCGATTTGAACAGCACAGCTGTGCTTAGGCGAGTGCTTGTTGAAGACAAAATATTTTAAAACTTAGGCATATGTGTGTCTCTTAATTGTTTATTGATATTTGTTGATTCAAAATAGCTGCTGTGTCTAGACTCTAGTGTATAGCTGAGTTATAATAGAAGAAGAATTCGTTTTTATTGAAAACAATCAGGTTAGGGTATTATTTTGGTTTTGTGACGTTTGTTTATAGGTTAACAATTTTCTTGAAAATTTGTGTTGAAGATAGTCTGCTTTCATTTTAATTTATCAAATGAACATTAAAATATTTATGTTTTGGTAATTTTCATTTCAATAGATTCATTTGTTTGTTATATAGAAATGTGTAAAATGAAAAGATCTTGTAGATTCCAGTACTGAGAGACTGAAAAGCATTTCAGCATTAATTTTGGGAATCGTCTACTCCATTATTCAGTTTTTTGTTTCAGACTCAGCCATGCATTCCGCTGATATTCAGAAAAAAATCGAGGAATATAATAATTTTATAGAGGTCAAACTGAAAAATGATCTGAAAGACATTGAAAAACTTTTGGATGACAAATCGGTAAAATTGAAAGACTGGCAAGAAGTGAAACAAGTATTGAAGACGGTAAGAGAATTCCGAGAAAAAGATAGAGATATGTCTGTTCGAGTAGACATAGGAGGTGGAGTGCTGTCAACTAGTGAGATAACTGATTTTGAAAGAACCTATGTGTCGATCGGTCTTGGGTATATGCTTGAAATGGATTGTGATGAAGCTGATAAGTATGCGGATATAAGACTAAGACTGTTGACTAAAGAAATTAACCACTTCAGAAATCTTGCTGTAGATGTAAAAGTACACATTAAATTAGTTCTTCTGGCAATTAATGAGTTACAGGCATCTATTAAAATAAAAAGTTAATTTTTTTATCACTTCTGCCTTTGAATGTATAATAAAATATATTTTTTCTCAATTAGAAAATGAGTTATTTTTTATAATGAATATTATTTTAATAATTTGTTGTGCACATATATTAATTTAGATTTTTAGGTAGAATGTTTTGATACATGGTCATATAATAAAGCTATAAATAAGTATATGGTAGGTAGATATGTTTATTGAATACAAAATGGCTTGCCTAGTCAGTCTAACTAAAGCAAACTCTGAGTGAAAGTAGATACAGTTGATCTATTGTGTCACAAAGTAGAACTGAAAATTTTCAATATATTCAAAGTTATTCAGGATTCAATTATAGTCCTGTTTTCTAAATTGAAAACACCATATAATGTGTATGAAACACCTTGTAGAGATTGTGAAGTGTACATTGTACATAACTTCTTAAAGTTAGAATTACATTCCATAAAAGTAACTGATGGGAAAATATACAATTCTGTGCACTGTGCAGCAGTACATTACTATCACGAAATGTAGGTATTGTAATGATAAGAAATTAAACATAATTCAAAAATTCATCGTCAGTTACATGAAGCTCTTCTGTTTTTTTGGGGTACATATTGGTTTTTGTCATACGTGAGACCATATCTTTGGTTGGGGAAAAGTTTATGCAACTTCCTCCTTCCTTTATGCATTGGCTTGTAAGAAGGCAACCATTCAGCGTACTGACAATTAACGAATTCCTGGTTTTCGTTTTAATCAAATTAACTTTGCTAAACTGTCTTTCGCATGCTGCGTTAGAATGAGGAAACGATAATATATATAATACAAAAGGCGACAGATTTATAAAAGTTGAAGTGCCTGCCTCATCTTTATATTTAAACAGTTTTCCCCAAAAAATGTCAATTTCGTCGTTCAAAACAGTGTATCCTTGAGGAAAATTGTAGCTTGGAAGTAGCCTCCATTCATCATCTATTAGTTGTGCAGTATCGGGTTTGAGAGGTCGAGGCATTTGGTTTAATATGTCCACCAAAGATGGATAATTTTCTCGAATCTGATGGGAAATGACATTTTCTGGAGAAAAAATATGTAACTTTGACAATATAGGATTATCAAAGTCATATCTTTTTTTTATTTCAGTGCAAAGCACGCTGTAAAATTGTTGACAGCGGCTGTAAAAGTGCTGCAATAAATCAGGTCTCTGAGAAATTTCAGGCTTTTTTATTTCATTAAAAATCTCTACTCCGAGATACATTTGATTTTTTGGTAAAAAGTTTGGTTTGCCGGATCAATTACTGATAGTCGGTCGTATTTACATATTGTCGGTGCATGTAACAAAGTAGAAATTCCCTATAAAAATTTCTAAAAACTGTATCTATTTTAGAAATTACTACTTTTTCTGATTGGAAATATTGGTTTGAAGTAGTAACTTTTGGCAAAACCTGATTTAAAAACAAAAAACACAATTTTGTAAATAGATCATGTAGTGCTTGGTGTACCTGCTCAATTGCCAGTAGACGTTCGTCCAACAATTTTGATGAAAAGCTGACCACTGTTCCAATATTCTTTTCACTACCGCACTTATTATTAAATCGGGGATTTACCGATTTATGGATTTTATTTAAAAATCCTCGAATTTCTACTACACCTAACGCATCAAACGGTATGGCATGAAACTTTCAACAGGTCACTATGATGGCTCGTTCAACCTACAGGAATCTCTTCGCCTACAGGTGCCTATAGGTTCAGCCACCATAGCTAGAAATATAGATTGCTATAAATTATCGAATACTTACGATGCCTACTACTGCTGAAGCATGATAGATGGCGCATCTGCCGAAGAATCTTTGAAAATGTAATCTTCTTATTTCCACTTTTGATTATTATTTATTGTGACAGAATCAACAACTCGAATATGTCGAGTACTTTATTTTGGCTTGAGTCTTTCCATGAGTATTATGATTCAGTCAATAAATTAACTTAGACTATCAACACATGATATTCAATTTCATTTGACATTTGTCAAAATATTGCATTTCAGTTGAAGTTGAGATTTTATTGGAGATGTTTAAAACCTCGTGGTGGAATCTGACAGATTTTTTGCGCGGCTCAATACAATCAATCAGATTGCCTAGTTTTTTGGTAAGTTATATTTGATAAATTATATTTTTGAAAAAGAATGTTTTTGGCTTTCTACTACTCCATCTCGATACAAAATATGTGGGAATCTTCCAAAAAAAGGGGAAGGAAAAAATCAATTTTAAAACAAGTAACTCTATACATGGATGTGTAGATCATGCTAAGAAGTAACTTTCAGATACAAACTGGAAAAAACCTTCCTGAAACAGCTTCTTTCATATAAACATTGAAGTACCCGAAAGAAAAATTCTTCCGAAACAAATACTTTCACATGAACACTGAATTATCCAAAAACACTTTTCTCTACTTAGTTTGTATTCCAAACATTCGTTGTGGAATTAAATCAGATATCATTCACAGGATTTCTACACAATATACTAAATGAAAGGTAAAAAATTCACTTACATGGAACACTGTCATCCTCACTGGTTCAATATTTGTTTGAGATTTATTCAACTCAATGAATTCTACTCGTGATTTCATTGATCTAGTTTGCCTGAACCCATATTGGTAAATATTTTGGATTTATATTTCAGATTATATCAAAACAAATATTTACCTACATATTTCGTTTTAGTTCACTATTCATTTCTTCAATTTCCGTTATATAAATAAATATATGCATGATATTATGATCTGGCAACAAGTCAGCTATCCTGAAATGTTTCAAGTATTAATTTACCTTCTCTGTGGTTCCCCGCTTTCTAAAATTATCGTCGAATCGAACGACGAACGACACACAATGAGCTACTACGTCAGAATAAAGATCATGCCGAGATATTTGTAATTACTTTTAGTTCGAAACGATCGCTTTTATGGTGGTGTATATTTACCTGTAACAATTGAGCCCAGAAATAGGCGCAGCTATCAAAATCGTGAGTATGAAGTATGGGTTTTGTTTATTTCATAAAATGAGTTCGAAAATGAAAATTCAAAAAAGTCGAACTCACATTTGGAGGAAAGGCATGTTTATTTTAGGAACATCAAACACATTTTATACCTATGAGTAGCTTGCATAAGTATTTCATGTAAAGGTAGTATATTATTTGTTTATGCTTAGGAATTTGTAGTGAATATGCTGATGTGGATGTTACAAACAAGTTTACAACTGAACGTGTACCATAACCACAATTTGATTTAATTTAGCAATCTCAGGGTGACAAACCCCTCTAGGACTGGATGAAATTAGAAAGGAAGAAACCAGTAACATTTATGGATTGTTGTTATATTATTTCACTCTACCTATCAAAATTTATATTTAAACTGAATAAGTATTAAGAAAAGTCAGCGGCGTTGCCACGTGAAACTTTAGTTCTCTTATCATATACAATGAGTCTAAGATAAAAAGGACCAGTAATGGAAAATCTCAAACCGTAACAGATACAGAGTTTGATAAATAGGAGAAAGTTGTCCATTTAAGAGCTTATTTAATTGACATGTTAGATTTACTAGTTAAGCGGTTATGGTGATAGGTTATCAAAAAGGTTAACTCTTACAGGGTGATTCTTTTGCAGCGAAAACTAAAATTATTGATTGTTTTTTGGAGATGAAATTTCGGCATAAAAATCCGAAAACCCCATTTTGTACAGCTCGACAAGTGGAAATACGAAATATTTTTTTCTCCTTAATAACTTCTCAAATAACGTCAGGAAAACGAAACCGGCGAATTTCAGATTAAATAGTTTTGTATCATATCAATGGAAATTAAAAAAATGGAGTTTAATGCAATATTGAGGCCTTCCAGTGAGACCTTCCAGGTCTGATCTGAGCTTTATAAAGCATCTGAATTTGTCGAGGTGTGTACAGTTATCTGGTTCGGAACAGTGTTCCAATAAGCTACTGAGAAAAGGCTTTTGCAATTCCAGCGACATGATTGTGTCCATATTGGTGTCCATTTTAACCCCCAATAAACTTATCGAAGCATCAAGTGGAATTGTCTGACCTGATATTATTATATCCGGTTCGGAGACATTCATCTTTTGGGAGAAAATCGATGCCTGGGTTTTTGTGGCATTGAATTGAACCTGGTTACTTTTACCCCAATTCGAAATTACTTCTAGATCCTCATCAAGATATGCAACCTCCTGCTGCCGGTGAAGTTGTGCATCCACAAGCCCTGTCATTTGATACCCATGTTGAGATATAATCCGCCATTTTGTAGCTGCGGCCATCTTGTAATTACAATTATACAGAATTTATTGATTTGTATTGTCATCAAAACTACATGTGTGTACCAAATATCAGATCAATCTTTCAACAGGAAGGAGATTAAACTTCAATTACTAAATTTGCCCAAACAAATAAATAGGTTAAGCTAAATAAAACCGTTTAATAATTGAAAGGCTGCGTAAAAATGGAATTTTATATTTTACAGTGAGCCTACGTAGTATGTGTTAGGGGTCAAATACTCACAACGAACTTTTTCATTTTTGTAGCATAATCACCCTGTATTTCGAATAGTAAGGCTGATTCAACCAACTTCTCTTTGAAATCATTGCAGAATGGGTCATATATCTAAAGGGCGCTTTATCGGCATTGTCGATCTAAAATTCCCCTAAATAGCTTATCACCGTAATTTCGTATGAATTGTTTTTCAAATAGTTTTTCTAAACAGGCTTTTTCAAGTAAGGAATTGGCGAGCTATTGTAAAAGATTTTGACTGATGTACATACGTAAATTAGTGCTGGTTGTGAGAATGCGATTTTGTTTATTTTCCTATTGGGATATCTAGCTTCTCATCGGGTTTTCATGTATTGGGTTATATATGCGAGAACGTGTTTGGTAGATGAACAAGGCGTGTTCTGGCGCACTTCAAGGTCGTGCGTCGCTGGTAAGTGTAAGAAACTTTAGTGAGTGGAAGAGAGAAACGTGTGACGTAATCGATGCAGGATGGAATGAGTTTCGGAGAGATTCAAAGAGCGTGGGCGTGTGTATTTTTTTGTATTTGAGAAAACTGTAAACAGCACTTGTGTTCGATTGATCACGCGAGAGTTCTTTTACATAAAGTCTACACAACATCTTTTTATATGTATCACAAAGAAAAGCTCTGATTACCAATACAAATAAGTTGGGCTTCAAAGACGATTCTGGAGACCTGTGTATCCTGGGACTTATCCTGGAATTGGTGGCATAAAGATAAGTTTTATGTTTGTATCGTTTCCAACATCGATAGTCAGGCCCAGTACATTTTAATTCTCTTATTGCTTTCACAAGCAATCGTTCAAGCGAAATCCAATTAGGCATTACCCTGTTTGAAGAGAAAATAACGACGGATATTTATTTATAGTGTTTTTTTTTTAATTTATAATTGAGTTTACTGAAGTCATGAAGTTCCATTAAGTGGATTGTTGAAAATTACGATATATTTGGAAAAGTATGTTAGCCGAAATATAGATCTATACGGAGGTATGAAAAGTACTAATCAAGTGTTACAAAGTTTGATATCAAAAATATCGTCATAAGTGTGTCAAAAAATAATAATTTACGTGAACATTGACGTTCCTAATTCCTTTTTACTGGGTCGAAATGAATTGTCTCTGAACCATTTTATTTTGTTCATTTCATAAATTTTGTCGTAACCATAACTGGTTTGGTTAGGACAATAAAAGCATACCGCCTATTCGAATTTGGTTTGTATGGTATTCTCGCTCATACAAATTCACTGTTTGGTGATTTATTTTGTGAGTTAGTTATTTGACATGAAATACTGATTGGTTTAAATCACGTGGGGCTCTTTTTTTTCTTTCACAAATTATGACACGCTCACTCTCTGAATTAGTCGGCGACCAATCAGTGGTTGAGTTCCTGGAAACCGTGGAAAATAGGTAGTCGAAGCCGCGTGGTAATTGCATTGATTTTTCTAATATAACATATATGATACAACATTGGAAAATGTATTTTTATTACAGTATATTAACTGAGATTCTATTTTTCTCAACGAATTGAGCTGCTTATTTTATCACTCAAAACCTTCCTACCAAAGTCCTGTGAATGTTGAGCAGTGGCTACTTCCCAAAATGGAGGAAACCCTTTGGTTTTTATCATATTCTAACATAATTTTTGGATTCAAGTGAAATATGCTTGTAAAACAAAACTTCTGTTTTTCAGGATCTGGTTAAGAAAGTTATCAGTGGAAAAGAAGTAGAAGAAATAGTGACTGCCTTAACGTTGAAAGAAATTATCAATGGTGGAGCGATATGAATAGAAGAACGAATAATGAGAGTGAGTTGAAAAGACTATACAAAAATAACAGTGTTACTGACGATCAGTTGTTTAATATTTCCATAACTATTTTCGAAGAAGTCCGAAGGTAATCCATTATTTATATAGTGCGGACGTAAATAGTCTTCTCCCTCTTAACTTTCGAACGGGGCAAGATATCAGAGTCGAACAAAATTTTTGTGAAAAGGAGTCATTTTCGGTACTTTTCAATAGGAGGGGTCCCGTGACATTTCGTATGGAAGGTATTCCAATTCTCTTTTTTTGAATTTCGATATGCGGTTGCGGAGTTTATTGATTTGCTACTAGGAATTTCGTTACTCCTCCTATGTCAGATTTTTTAAAATGAATGTTCATTGGAAAGAAAAATGAATCAGTACATCAGTAAAACAATCTATTTTCGAAGTCATTTCTAACATTTGGGAATGTTTCTGTGGTAATGCTAACATAAGTTTCAGTTTGATTTCTCGTATACATTACGTGAATACGTGTTTCACTATATAACAGCTTCTTCAGGAGTGTCTTCACCAACTTCATGCCTGAAGACAACCTGAAGAAGGTATTGTATATAGCAAAACACGAGTTGCTTTTTTGTAGAACTGTTTAGTGAAAATCTCACAATCAAGTGTTTTTTGAATAAGATATTAAAAATTTGAGGCAAATTCATGCATTCATGTTTCCGAAGCTGTTTTTCCAAGATGTGTTATGTGTTGTGTTATTCATAACATCTTTTTTTTTATAGATATTCGATGGTTTTTTTTATATTAAAGTGAATAATTTTTTATCTTGGGTAAACAACTTTTATGTGATGACGTTATCATTGTTTTTATTTGAATATTTTCCTATTTCTAGAGTTACCTACAAGTTGCTTTCAAGTAGTGTTCTCCCAACATTACGAATTATTCAAGCCCAACAACTCGATATTGTCATTCGAATCTGGAATTATTTAAGAAAATATTTGGTATAACAGTGATAATTTCATTTCATATACATTGTAGGTGAACGACTTTGTCACACGAATTCCGTTTAGATAGAGCTTCAGTTGGTTAACAGAAAAACAGATTTTAACACAGATGTTTCAGTCTCCATTACCAGTAGTAAACATTATCAAATTTATTGCATTTAAACTACTACATTTATGTTAGTGGTGCCATTTTATCTACCATCTGAAACATATTTCATAGGCAAACCAGCCTCCATGCTCACGTTTCCAACTGATTGATCCGTTGTTTCAGTTGAAAACAAGTGTTCTTCAGTCATCACTAGAATTTTTAGGATTATTAAAAGGCCTACAAGAATACATATTCTATAAACAATAAATACTATGAATTTCTTCATATGAAGAACAATACTTTCATTTTAGACTCTGGTGGGGAAGGCAACCGGTGGAGAAGAGGTCAAGGACAAAGTGGAGGTCGAGGTCAGAGAGGAGGTCGAGATCAGAGTCGGGGTAATGTTGATGTTGGAAATAATGCAAGAAGAGGAGAT